ACGATGGATACTCAGCCATACAAAAGAATGAAATCTTGCCATCCGCAACAGCTCAGATGGATCTAGAGGGTACAGTGCTGAGGTCAGATAAAGAAAGACAAATGCCAAATGATTCACTTACATGTCGAATCTAAAGAACAAAATAGAGAAAACATAGACAGACAGACAGATACAAAGAACAATTTGAGGGTAAAAAAGGGGGAAGGGATTAAGCAGTGCAAATCGGTAGTTGCAAAATAGTCACAGGGATGTAAAGTATAGCACAAGGAACATAGTCAATAATATCATAATAACTATGTATGGTTTCAGATGGGTATTAGATTTATCAGGGAGATTACTTTGTGAGTTTTATAGATGTCTAATCACTATGTGGTACACCTGAAACTAATATATTGTATGTCAACTGTAATTGCAAAATAAAAATATTTAAAAAAAGAAAATAAGGCTGTATGCAACAGTAGGCTTAATAAACATGGTTTTAAAGTTAAAGCTTAATAAAATAAAATAAAAAAAAAAATAAAATAAATAATAAAATGAAATAAAATAAAATTCTACTAACTCTGCCGAACAAAAATTTATATATTTGTTAAATAAGTTGATAAGGAAAACTCCAAGACATTAACAGATAATTAAGTGAATGGCACAAAAAGATTATTGTCAAAAAGATGAAATGTTTAACTAGGTAAAGAAAAGTGTTCAACCTTATTAGTAATTTTCAAAATCAAAAGTTGAAATAATATTCCATCTTTGGCTCATCAAATTCGCAGAAAATAGATAATGTGAATGCAAAGATTTGGTAGTAATACAAGCATGGTCAAGCATTGAACTGGATAAGTAAATTATTACAAGCCTCTTGAAAAGCAATTAGGTGATATGAAGCAAATATTACTTGATCCAGCAACTAGATTGTGGGAGATACAAATTAAGAACACAGTCTAGTATACCAAAACAAGGATTTTGCTCAATATGTTCATCCTATTCATAATAATAAAATACTAGGGAAAAAACTTAAATGTTCTAATGCAGGGAAATAGGGTTATTAAAGCGTTATTCACCAAAGTGAGGAAATGCTTGTTATAATGCTAAGTGAAAGCATAAGAAATACAATGGTGTGCGCTTGTATGCATAGATATATAATGCTTCTGATGTAAAATAAAGATTACAGAGACAAAAACATGATTATATTTGTTGTGCAGCTTCAGGTGATTTTCTTTTCTTTCCATATTTGTATAGTTTTCAAATACTCTATAATATAGTATTAGCTTCTTAAATTAAAAAAAGTGTTTTTCAAAATTTCGTTCATGTATTTTCGATGCCGTGTTTAGTCCCAATCTCTTTCCTAAACTCAGGGAGCAGACACCAATGTCCTGGGCCTCCTTTCTCCAGGGTGAATGGAGTGTGGGCACGTAGGGCTGATGTAGAACCCCCTCCCCTCCCCCCGCCCCCAGCTGGGGCAGGTCTTCACTGGCCTGGGCATAGCCAGAGTGATTCCTTTGCAGCCAGGTGCTGAAACTACCTGTTCCAGGAGTAGTTCATCCAGTCTGCAAAGCTCGCCTTTTCTCCATCCCCAGTGAAGCGTTCCAGGGGGAGGGAGAAGCTAAGTCTGGAAGGATCTGAGCACTTGGAGGGAGCAGGAGCACAGGCAGTGGGTTGAGAGATCAAGGAGGCCACCCATGGCCTCAGAAGTCCTGGCAGGAGTCTGGGTTCTATGTCAAAATCGATTAGCCGCCTCCAAAAGGTGTATTGTGGGCCAGGAAGTCACATGATCTGGAGCTAACTTGCAGCAGCTCACTTGGTCTATGGGGATCGCCCTACATAGGGTCCTGAGATGGGGCCCCAGAGGTCAGCAGGGCTATGTCACATCATGTTCAGAGTGGGGATTTAGGAGTGGAGGAGTGCTGACGGAATTTAGTGAGGGGAAAAGGCAGGCTCCAGGTGTCCTTGGGAAAAGTTGCACTTGATGTAGGCCCCTCCCAGACAGGCCAGGTAGAAAGGCCTAGGAAACTAAGAGGGGACAGAGGCTAGGAAGTCAAGGAGGGGGGACCCCACAGACCACCTGGTCACCCTGCTCGTAGAAGGCTGACAATAGGGAATGGTCCACGGGAGTCCCGCTTCTGATGTGAGTGAAAGGCCACTCAGGATCCTGCCCAGTGAACCAGGAAGGGGAGGCAGGGCCCACCCTGGCTTGGGGGCTCGAGGAAGTGAGTCCAACTTTGGGGCTGGCGCTTGAAACCAGGTCAGCGCCTGAGCACGGAGCTGGAGCTGACAGCCTCTGGGGTCCCAGGTTCTCGGCCAAGCGGCTGACCTCAGGAGGGAGAGCGCACTGTATCCGTTTCAGAAGGGCCCAGCCAGCCCCACTCTCACGTCACCTTTCCGGACCCCCGACCCCCGACCCCCACTTTAGGCCTTTGTCTCCCCTGATTGGAAGACGGGCTGGAGGAGGGGGTGATGAAGAGACAAGGGAGAGGGAAGTGGAGTTGGGCGTCCAGGGCTCCGCCGGTTGGTGCCGCTACCCATCCCTGCAGCCGCCCACCCGAAACGTCGCGTGATTCGGAGCACCTGCTCCCTTCCCGTTTTGGGGGAGCTGGGGTGAGACCCCGCCCGGATTATTGACTGCAGCTGCAGGGGCGCGACACTCCCCGCGCTGAGCCTTCCTCCCTGTCCCATCTCTCCACCACCGGCTGACCTGGTGTCAGGGATGACATTGTGACGTTTCCTGGAACGCAGATGACCAAACAACATTCCAAATGTGATACTGATCAGACATTCACTCAGTTTATTGGAAATAGACCCTCTCGGCAGGCGGATCGGCGCGGAGATTAGGGGGATTGTTCCACGGTCGGTGTAGGGTGCCTGGGGCGATTCCGGGAGTGTCCGGAGGTGAGAGGAGGGGCCGGGGGGG